AATATAGGGGCCTAAATCATTACCCACACTATTTTGGGGGTACCTGAAAATGTCCTAGACTGGAAGCTTGGGAGTGGGGCGCTTCATGTACGAGCTAACATAAGGGTTTCCAATTAGAAACCACATGCCCCTTGAACCCCACGAATCTACCCCTAAACCCTAAACCGTACACCGAAACCCCTAACCCTAAACAACCCTAACCCTAAACCGTACACCTAAACCCCTAACCCTAAACCCTAAACCCTAAACCCTAAACCCTAAACCCTAAACCGTAACCCTACTAAGCCCTAAACCAGCTCTAATGATCGAGCTCCGGGTCGGCTCGTGGCGAAGGGTGTGGGATGTGGGTAGTTTTCTAACTTCGGGTCCCTTTTTCAGTCCCCAATATAGTACGGCACTCTTATAAAAAGGATCAGAAAAGACCCTAATTTAGAGAACTACCCATGGGGAGTTTGGGCATTTGGAGTGTGGAGCTTAAGATCCAAAAGTTGAGGAAGTCGGATTTGGGGTTGAGATATAGAATTTAGGGTTTCAGGTGTAGGGTTAGGGTTTTAGGGTTTAGGGTTTTAGGGTTTAGGGTTTCAGGTTTAGGGTTTAGGTTTAGGGATTTAGGTTTCAGGTGTAGGGCTGGGTTTCCGAGTTTGGTTTGCCTCCTCTGGCAATGTCAACCGAGCTCCGCACAAAAAAAGGTATGAAGAGGTTGCCGAATCAGCAAATCTAACACTTGGCAGGTCTGGCATTGTGTCCATCAAAATACAATTATGAACATTCGGACATCATTGCAAGGAGGCCAAGGCGATGCTGCTGTCGCTGTTTGAGTGCGAGATGTACCCTCTGAATTTTGTCTTCATGATATGTCCCAAGACACGAGCACCCCAAACGCCCTAAACCCTAAAGACTAAAGCTCAAGCCCTAAACCCTAAACACTAAAGCTCAAACCCCAAATCCTAAACCCTAAGCCCTAAACACTAAAGCTCAAACCCTAAATCCTAAATCCCCAACACTAAAGCTCAAGCCCTGAACCTAAAAGGTGATGCAGGCCTCTGCATTCTACGATAACGTCGGGGCGTTAATCATTAGAATAGGGTTTGGGGATATATGGGAGTTTCCGAAAATTCGGGGTACTTTTTTTTTGGGTTATAATCAGGATCCTTCTATTTAGGGTACTATATTAGGGTCCCCTATTTTCGGAAACCCCCGTATAGCACTGCAAGAAGCCTTAAACCCTAAACCCTAAACCCTAAACCCTAAACCCCAAACCCTAAACCCGTAAACCCTAAACCCTAAACCCCTAAACCCTAAACCCAATACTATAAACCCTAAACTCCCCACCTGTAGTTGCCTTTAAAAAAGATTCTAGACTTGGGATCCTCTTTGCTCAACTTAAACCCTAAACCCTAAAGCCCTAAAACCCTAAACCCTAAAGCCCTAAAGCCCTAAAGCCCTAAACCCCTAAAAGCCTAAAACCCTAAACCCTAAAACCCTAAACCCTAAAACCCTAAAGCCCTAAACCCCTAAAAGCCTAGAAACCCTAATCCTTTCTGAGCTTCCTAAGCCAGAGTTTGCCCAGGACCTCCTTGCGAAGGCCAAAGACTTCAGCAAGGAGGCAGAGCTTTCGGCGACTGGGCAAGAAGAGGACATTTAGGGTTTTGGAGGTTTAGGGTTTAGGATTTAGG